CCGATTCTCGAGAAAATAATATGAAAGACTTGCGCAAGTTATAGTGTCTTCATGTCTCTAGACAAATATTTAGGTGCATATTTTTTGAACATTTTGGTCATTACGGTTTATCACTTGATTTTATATGTTTTATCCGGATACATTATATTTATCTGTAAGATGATTGTTTGTGTTTTATATGTGTTTTCTGATCATATTATTTTTAAATATTGATATGAATTTTTCATAAACTATATGTATCTTTGCTATTTTGTTAGCATGAAACTTTTGGAGAGTTTGAGAAGGCTATATATTATTGAAACTCGTTGCAGAGTTTGAATAGCTCGAATATCATTAAAACTCCTGAAGAGTTTATTATGGTTATTAAACTTCAAAAGGAAGTTCAAAAGATGGTTAAGTTGAAAAGGTTGCTACTTGCCTAAAGCAAGAATAATGAAAGACTTTGGGTATAATCTCGGTCGTAGTAATTTGGCCTGAGTTGATATACATTTAACACCCATTGAGCACACTAGACTATGATCTGATGTGCATAAAATCCTTTTTATAGCATTATAAGAAAATGTAAACTGATTTGGTCATGAAGTACCATATTGTAATACTGATATGTATCGATTTATTACCCAAGGCATTAGAGGAATGTATATATTACCTTCTTAGTATGCTTGTTATAGATCTCTGTTGTTATAATGCACTCAAGATTACACCAATATATGAAGATGATCGTCTGCAGAGAAATCGAAGTGCTCCGTCCATTATTGATTTCAACAATGGTGAAATTGGTCAACATATTGATATGTGACGACAAGATTACAAGTGATGTACTCAACATGGGGAGTAGCCCCACGCTGTACTCTTTTTCCCTTGATCGAGGTCCCAATGGATTTTCCTGACAAGATTTTTAACGAGGTAGCATTATCTCTGAAAATGTACTCTTTTTCCTTTATTAGATTTTTATCTTATTGGATTTTTTCTTATAAAGGTTTTAACGAGATATTATCTCAAGAAATAGACATACAAGGGGGAGTGTTTATAAATATATCAATAATGTAGATGTCCATAAGATAGAAGAATTATATTAGGATTCCATGTATACATATAATATTTAGTTAAAACTCATATTCGTTGATCTTATCTTTGTATCTATTTGCCTATAAATAGAGGTTAGTCTCTATTGAATAAGATGAACCTGAATCCTCATTCTCTTTCTCATATTTGTTATTCCTAGTTTATATTTATTTTATAATAAAAATTTATTTTTAAGATTATTTTTTCAATAAAAAAATATACCATGTGACACTTGAGAAAAATCAAAATGTCTTAATAAAGACAGGAGGGAGTAACAGGTAAACCGTAAACAGTTTAGTATTTCTATTTCCTTAAATGATGGAGACCACCAAGTTCTGCAGATATTGGTAGTTCTATTCCTTAGATTATATTCCAAAGCACCGAAACATCACAAAATTAGCGGTAAATATCGAGTCTCCATCACAACTTTTATGATACAGGTAAACAGTGTCCTGATGATAAAGATTTCAAGTCCTTCACTAATGATGGCACCACGTGGTGGATATTATTTCTTGATTAGATTAGGCTCTTGGACACACTGAAAAAATCAGTCCACAACCAGTTCGGGTTGGCGTCTTTACAGTATCGAATCAGTATAATTATCCTTCTTCTGACACAGCAACACAATTTTAATCAGGAAGCAGAAATATCGACATTGGCCCCGTATACCTCTCTGACATTCCTTGGCGTTTGAAGCCAGAGGGGAATTCATTCATTACCCATATGCGAGGAACTCATTTGCATAAACCCGAGTTTAAAAGGAAGAAAAATATAAAAAAAATAGTTTATAATACAACCCGAGATGAGTTAGTTTGTTTGAGATTACACAACTCACTAGGCATTCTTCCTCTTAGGGTTGTTGGGCTAGCTCTGAAGTCTCCATCTGTGATGATACTAAAATTTTGACGTGCTTTAAGAATTAATTAAATAAAATAAGAGGACAAAGATAAAACAAGACATGTAACATATTTTATAAATTGGATCCAAATTATATCAATTAGAAATATTTATATGCAAAGAGTTTATTAGTAAGGTTAACACCCTTAATCAAAGATTAAAAAAAAATAAAGATTATCTTAAAACTTAAGTTAAAAGGTTGTAGGATTTAAGACGGTGGCAGAGAAATGTTATCCATAAAAATGATTAAGTAACTACCATTATAAAAGACCAGTTGAATAGTTTACTCAAAATTGGTAGGTAATATTTAAGCAAGTCGGAGCTCACGATTTTAATAAAATAGTCATAACTTCATGTAGAAAATTCCAAATTGCAATCCGCTTGTTGCATAATAATCTAGACTCAGAGAGCTTTCCAAAGGTATAAAGATAATGGGCCAAATATTCGTACATTACTACAGTTTATTATTCAAAGTCCACCCCACGAACAGCACGTTTTCATGGTCCAAATCTTTTAAGTTGGAAGGAAAGCTTGCGTACTCACGCTTCCCGCTGCATAACTCACGCCCCTCCTGCGAAAGTTAAAATTTGCTCAATTTCTTTGACATACATTATTTATCCACCGCCTTATAACATTTTCTGGAACCCACAACTCTAGTTATATATATTAGCGAGCCTTATCATGTTTCCATATTCACTACTTAACCATTTCTTAACTACGGGCAGCCGATGTGCACATGGAAACCTCGTTAAAACTACATATTTCCTCTTGCCTGGATGGACTCTCTACTTTGCTAAACTAACCAAAATATTAGAACCTCACCACTCAAATAGTTAAATCCATAGAAGAGGAAAGAGAGCATGGCAGCTAGCTACTGGTTGCAAAATGAGCACCCCTCAAACAGTAGGAAATTTGGCTCGAAGGTAAATGATCTATAAAGTTGGTGTTTTATCTAAAATTCTGATCTAATACCATTCCATACTCATACTTCTACGATAATTCATGGTTTTGATCTAGATTTAGGTCACAGGGTGATGTTTATAATTCATTTGTTAACCCAAATCTATGTTGGTGATTAGTACTACTTTGTCAATATCAAACAAGAAGGTGATTAGGAGTACACAGACTTAATAGTTTCATTTACTACGATAACTTGGGATGTCCCAGAATCATACAATAATAAATTATTTTACTTAGGATGATTAGTAGTACTTGTGCAGGCTTGCGTTAATTAATTCTTGTAATTGGGATCTTGGGTATATGGTCTTAATTAATGAGACGGAACTCTCACTAGTGTAGGTACGCACCACATACTTAATTTGATTAGTTAATACGGAGTAAATATGATGTTTAGCATACCACAAACATCTATATAGCTAGCTACGTGTAGGCATAAATCAGAATGTGTACTATGGGGTTAAATAAATTACCTTTTCTAAAATATTAACAGTAGATCTTAGGAACAAGACTTTTCTAATAAGATTAGTATAACCTTATAAGATTAGTATATATATATATATGTGTGTATATATATAACTCTATACAATACTGATTAATAAATTATGTTATAGTAGGAGACTTTAATCCTTAAACTGGAGCCCAACATTGACGAATCAAAATATTGTATGAACTTAAAATGCTCCAATTCCACTAATAAAGAGTTCAAGATTCTTTCTTGACATATGATGCACCATTTTTTTCAAACACTTTTGATAAGTAAGCTACGAAATTGAGGTGTTGATTGTGCCAAGCTCAAATAATATAGTGATATAATAAAATGTGCGTGCAGGGCAAGCATGCGCCTACGTACGATTTGTGTTGCTAGCAAATCAGGTGAGTAATTCTCACTCTTTTCAAAAACTGAAAGTTAGGGATTATATATATTTAAAGACACGGCACACATGAACACGTTCTAAACGATATTAATTGTTATTAATTAAGAAGCATCTTGAATGACTCGGTGGTGTGTTTTATCACTCCGGGGTAATTCTTATAAGTATTATCGTATTTGATGGTAATTGACTATGTGTTTAAATAGTATTGACTGCAATCGTTGTTATTGTGATATCATATCGGCAGAATTATCATTGTTATTGTTAAATGTATTGTATTCGGTGGTGTACTTTATCACCCCGAAAAAAGTGTATTGTTTGTGCATGCAATCGTTGATGTATACACACGCTTGGGTGATCTCAGTCACCCTGGAGCACGGGCCCAGACACTGGTCGAACAAGGAACGTGAGCCGGCAGCGGGCTTGGTCACCAGTCTTTGCTTTCAGTGGCTGTATCGTAGGGGAAACTCGACGGAGTGACCTCGGTCGCGACAGGAGTAAGGTGATTGAATTGTGAATTGTTATTGTTAGTTGGTAAGGCCGCTCCTTCAGGCGAAGTATTGATTGATCGTTAAAATCTGGTTTGGAATAACGTTCTTGTGTCACATTGACCTTTGACGTATCATTCTAGATTTTCCGTATCCACCCCTATTGTTAATTGATTAAAGTGATTGTTTGATTGATTTGTTGCACGACAAATATTTTAATAAAAAGGTTTTACCATCGTATAAATTCTCAAAGTTATTTTATTAAAAGTATCAAGTAGTATCGTGAGGACCTCATTGAGCTCGGCCCTTACCCCTTTTATATCTATATATACTATCCCCATCCCTTCACAGGTTTAGAAGAAAGATCAAAGAACTCCAGCAGAAAGTTGGCACGTTCATTTTGTAGTGGGATCGCGTTGGCCAATTCGAGTGGAGAATCGATAGTATTGCGCTTTGGGCGAGAGCTCCGCGAACGACTCAGCTGATCGTGAAATATGACGTGGAGAAGCAAGCGAGTGGATTAGCCGAGTCGTTACACCATCACTCCTTCAATAATTGAAAAACCAATCCAAAACTTGTCCAGTTAAACTACTAGTAGCCGATTGTAGTGTTTGAAGGCATGGTAAATGTCAGAATTGTGTCAGAAATATTACCAGAAAAGTTGTTTGATTGAATTTTAAGCACTCCGAACTGTGATAACTCTTTAGTCTTTCCCAATCTATTCTAGTAAAGTGCCACTGCCAGTAAGTTGATTCTTGCTGAGATCCACTGTTATTAAAGATTTCAAGTTCTTCATTGATGATGGCATAACACCGCAAATATTGTTTCCTGATAGATTCCAACGTTGGACATTAGAAAAAGTAGCCTCGAACCAATCAGGTATAGTATCAGAGAGCCCGACATTCGCCATGCCTAACTCTATTACATTCTTTTGAGTTTGAAGCCATAAGGGGATTGATTAACCCATGTATACGGAACTCACATATACAAACCTAAGTTGAAATGGAGGGATCCATTGAGGGCTAACGTTGAGTGTAAGAAACTTGTTAGCTGACACGACCATAACAGTTAGATGTTTGAGTTCCTTAAGATGAAACTCAGACAACTAACCTTTCAGTGAATTGTTTGCAATATGTATCTTAATTTCCTAAGTCGACCAAGAGTTTCAGGAACTGCAACGTACGAATGGATATCCTCAAGATTCAAATATTCGAGCTCGGCAACTCTTCCAACACATGATGGAATGGAAGAGTTGAAAGAGTTTATATGCAATCCGAGATAAGTTCGCTGTTTGAAACAACACAACTTAATTGATACTTTCCTCCAAATTGTTGTATCCAAGATTAAGTACCTTAAGAGAGTCAAGCTCCCAAGGCAAATAGGACGTGAAACTTCAAGTTGGTTGGAACTCAGATCCACATAATTGAGGTTTGTATCCAAGATTAATACTTCGTCCGTCTCAAAATAACTGTCCTTGTTGTATTTTCACTTTTTGTACAAACTATACCGTGTTTAACAGAAAATGGCAAAGCAAGGCAAATAGAGAGCAAAGGAATTGTCGTAAGTTTTGGTGTGTATTCTCCATTCATTTTGGCCTCTATTTATACGCTCATGATCACCTTGAGATATAAATTATATTAATTCCATACTTACTCCTTACTTACAAAGATTACAGAGTTATGGAGATGTAAATGAAAGATAAAATATTAAGACAAATTAACACAACATCCACCATTAATATACTTCATAACACTCTCCCTTGGATGTTGTTTACGGAACAATGCCTCGTTAAAACCTTTACTAGGAAAAAACCCGCTGGGAAAAAAATTCCACTGAAGGAAAATGAGTACACTATCCAAATGTGACACTGCCTCGTTAAAAACCTTGTAAGGAAAAAATCCAAATGGGATAAAAACCTTGGTCAAGGAAAAAAGAGTACAGTCAGCAAATTACTCCCCCTGTTGAACACATCACTTGACATCTTTGAGTCGTGGCATTCCAATCTTGAAGACTAGCTTCTCAAAAGTTGAAGTCGGTAATGATTTAGTGAATAAGTATGCCAGACTGTCGCTTGAGCAAATTTGTTGAACAATGATTTCACCACTCTTTTGAAGATTGTGAGTATAGAAGAATTTCGAAGATATATGCTTTGTTCTATCGCCTTTTATGTATCGTTCTTTTAATTGATCAATGCACGCAGTATTGTCTTCAAACAAGATAGTAGAGGCATTCTTTCCAACAAACCACATGATCCTCGCATGTGATGAACAATCGATCTTAACTAGACACATTCCCGACTTGCTTCGTGAATTGCTAAAATCTCAGCATGATTGGAAGAAGTAGCAGGTAGAGTTTGTTTTATTAAACGCCATGAAATAGCTGTTCCTTCACATGTAAAAAGATACCCGGTTTGCTACCGACCATTATGAGGATCGGATAAATATCCAGGATCGGCATAACCAGTCAGATCCCAACTTGGATGCCTTTGAATAATAAAGACCCATATCAAACGTACTTTGAAGATATAGAAATATTTGGTTAATACCATTCTAATGCTTTCGAGTTGGTGCAGAACTATGTCGTGCTAACAAATTAACAACAAATGATATATATCAATGCTCCAATAATAGTGAGATATGGTACTTCCGGACCAAGCAATTTTTCATTTTCCCCACGAGATCAAAAAAGGTCTTTACCCCTATCAAGGGATCTTGGAACCATAGGTGTGCTCAAAGGGTGTGATTTGTCCATATAAAAGCGTTTAAGCACTTTTTCTGTATACGTGGACTGATGTAGAAATATACCACTTTCTAAGTGCTCAATTTGCAAACCCAAAAAAATTTTTGTCTTTCTAAAATCTTTCAGTCCAATTTCTTGTTTCAGACAATTTGTAGCTTTTTTGACCTCTTCAGGGGTCCTAATAATTTTTAAGTCATCAATATAAACTGCAATAATTGCAAATTCTGATTCGGATCTTTTAATGAAAACACAAGGACAAATGAGATCATTCTTATAACCTTCATTTATCAAATATTCGCCAAGACGATTATACCACATTCGTCCAGCTTATTTCAATCCATACAAAGATTTACACAATTTAATTGAAGAAAGTTCTCGAGAACTGGGATTTTGTTCCTTAGGTAATTGATATCTTTCAGGGATCTTCATGTAAATATCATTATCTAGTGAGCCATATAAATAGGCTGCCACAATATTCATAAGACGCATTTCAAGTTGTTCAATAGCTGCCAGATTCAGTAAATATTTAAAAGTTGTTGCATCCACTACTGGAGAATATGTCTCCTCATAGTCAATACCCTGTCTTTGGGGAAAACCTTGTGCGACAAGTCGGGCCTTATATTGTACAATTTTGTTATTCTTATTTCTTTTTTGCACAAATACTCATTTAAAACCTACAGGTTGCACATCTTCGGGTGTGCCTATTATTGGTCAAAAAACTTTGCGTTTTGCTAGTAAATCTAGCTCAGCTTGAATTACATCTTTCCATTTTAGCCAATCATTTTTACGTCTACATTCATCTACAGACCTCCGTTCATGATCCTTATTTTCATTCATAATGTTAATTGCTACAGTATATGCAAACTTATCATCAATTTCTGCTACACATTGGTTCCATTTTTCTCCAGTAACGACATAATTAATTGAGATTTCATCATTATCAACATTTTCAGGTAATCAACTTCTTCTAGAAGTTTGCTATCTATTATGTCATTTGACTCTTCAGGAGTTTTTATTCTTAAGGATTCTTCGAGAATCTTAGTTACCTCGACTTTGCCATCTTCATTATTTACTCTTTTCGTTTACGAGGTTTTTTTTTTCTTTGGAACCAATTGGCCTACCACGTTTTAGATGTGCCTTTAATTCATTGTTAGTGGTAGAAGGTCCTTCAGGGACATTGATTCTTATTGGAACATTAGCAGCCGGTACATGCGACTTAATCACACGTTTTAGGTCAGTAAAAACACCAGGCAATTGATTTGCTAAACGTTGTAAATGAATTATCTTTTGAACTTCAAATTCACATTGGCCTCTGTGAGGATAATGATAAGATAATATTGATTCATTCCAACTTATTTTCTTTTTCGGCTGTTTAACTTCTCCCCCTAATGTCGGGAACACCGACTCTTCAAAATGACAATCAGCAAAACGAGCAGTAAATAAATCTCCAGTTCTAGGCTCAAAGTATTTTATAATTGATGGAGACTCATACCCAACATATATTCCCAACCTCCTTTGAGGTCCCATTTTTGAGCATTATGATAGAGCAATTGGAACATAAACTGAACATCCAAAAATTCTAAGATGGGAAATATTAGGTTCCTGACCAAAAACCATTTGTTGGGGAGAATATTCTTGGTAATTTGTTGGCCTTATGCAAACTAAAGTAGCCGCATGCAATATAGCATGACCTCAAGCTGATATTGGAAACTTTGTTCTTATAAGTAATGACCTTGCAATTAGTTGAATTCGTTTGATAAAAGATTCTGCCATGCCATTTTGTGTGTGAACATAAGCTACAGGATGTTTAACTTTAATTCCAATAGACATACAATAGTCTTTAAATGATTGGGACGTGAATTCACTAGCATTTGTCAAGACGAATTGTCTTGAAGTGATTATCAGGAAAATGGGCTCTAACCGACTTAGCTCGGCTAATGCCAAGTTACGAGTAGATAACAAGCACACGTGTGACCATCTTGTGGATGCGTCAGTTAAAATCATAAAGTATCGAAATTGCCCACAAGGTGGGTGAATAGGCCCACAAATATCTTCCATGTATGCGTTCTAAAAAGGCTGGAGATTCCGATTGAATTTTCACTGGTGATGGCCTTACAATAAATTTACCTTGAGAACAAGCAGCACATGAGAATTCATTTGATTAAATAATCTTCTGGCTCTTTAAGGAATGACCATGAGAATTCTCTAGTATTTTTCGCATCATAATATAACCGGGATGGCCCAACCGGTCATGCCAAATGACAAAATCACCATAACTAGTAAACTTCAGATTTACAGTTGTATAAGTTTCAACTGTTGTAATATTTGTATAGTATAGCCGATAAGAATATGAAGGCAATTTCTCTAAGATAATTTTTCTTCCAGAAATTATATTTGTTAAGTACAAGTATTCAATATTATCTTCACAACTTGTTTCAACATGATATCCATTTCTGCGAATATCTTTAAAACTCAACAAGTTTCTTTGAATTTTTTAAGAATCTAATGCATCATCAATGGAAAATTTCGTCCTATTTGCTCTTCCGGAGCCTTCAATTAACTTTTTACTACCAGATATAGTACTAACATGAGTTTCTTTCATTACGATATATGAAAAATATTTCTTTTCTTTAAGGATGGAGTGCGTAGTTGCACTGTCTGCCAGAGACATTTCTTTGCCATTGTCCGTCCGTTTTTTCTTCAAAAACAAAATAAAAATTTCAAATTAGATATTGAATTTTGTTATTCCAATATTGCATCTTTCAATAAAAGATTTTAAGATCTAAAACATCAAATGTAATCCATTATATAAAATAAGAAATATTACATTTATTATAAATTCGTTACAAAAAAATTAATAGAAATAATTTTATTTAAAACATCAAATAGAATATTATACTTAAAATATGGAATGTAAAACTATTCTTGGACATTTCCGTCGATAGCTATATGACTAGTTTTACCTTCAGGGTAATTGACAAAGTAATCGGCATCGTCCAAAGAAGTAAAATCAGCAAAACCATTGCCTGCATGACTATGGTCAAATCCAATGTTGTTACTAATAAAATTAGTCTCTATCTTATTTCCTTGTTTCTTTATCTATTCTTGATAGAGATCAGCAAGATGCTTAGGTGTATGACAGATTCGGGACCAATGGTTATTCATGCCACA